CTGCCCGCAGTGCCTCGGAGGTGGGGAGCCCTTCGATGTCTGATTTTTCCCAGGGGGACTGGGTGGTCCCCTGGACCAGGACAGTCCCGAGGTTACTCTGCTAGGTGGTGCCTCTGGGGACTGGCCTCACAGCCCTATCAAGGCCCCTTGTAGCAGGCAGCAGGTGGCCTGGAGGGCACCACTGCTGTCCAGGCAGTGAGGAGCACCTGGCTTGGGCTCCCGGGCTGTGGGGAAGAGCATGGCTGCTTCTCCAGAAAGTCAGGGCTCTGGGGATCCTGGCCAGGGGGAACCCATCAGCCATGGCGTCACACAGCCAGTGCTGCAGTTGCCCTTTAGCAAGCCCTGCCCCATAGCTCCGTGCCAGGGAGCAGGGAAAAGCTAGTCCTTTGGAGATGTCACAGCCCTCTGAGCTGTCTGCCTGTCCCTTCCAGGTTCGGTGACTGAACCCCAAAGAGAGCCCTGCTTGCTTCTGTAGGGAGCCTCGTCCTCCTAGGCCGGTGGGGCCACAGGCGGACAGCTCCTGCTGTGGTCCCTGCAGCGAGATGGGGGGTGGGCCAGTCCCCTGAATTTCCCCGTGTGACTTCTTCATAGGCTCCCTTACTGCCCTCTTCAGTCGGTTTTTAAGAATAAATCCTATTTCATTGTATTCATGGGGGGAGGGGAAGACAGAAGGAAAAGGTAGGTACTTTCTGACAGAATTCCCCTGTGCCAGATCCCCCTCTCCTGCGTGTTAGCTAGGATTACAGGCGCACAGCCGTGCCAGCATGTTTGGGTCAGGAACCGATCCGTCCTCCCACGTAGCCTCCAGCCTCCCCAGCAGTGGCCCTGCCTGCCACGTGCACCTTTGAGCGTCCTGCATAGTGCACCATGAACATGGGTGTGCTGATATCTCTAAGAGTCTGTGCTTTCAGTTCTTTGGGGTATCTACCCCGGATTCACTGAGTCTGGTTTTCACTTTTTGAAGAACCACCTTACTGTTGTCCATAGCGGCTCTCTCACATTGCATCCCCACCAACGGTGCACAAGGGTTCCCAAAACGTGTCCCTGTGTAAAAAGCTCACTCCCATGAAAACTGCCGGCACTACGCAAAGCTGGCAGAGGAGTGTGCAGACGCCTGCTTGGTTCATGGCCGCAGCCGGGCCCAGTCGCGCGGCTGTCATACCTCTGCCCGCAGACCCTCAGGGGTCCGTTTTTAAGTGAAATGTACACAGGTCGAAATGCGTCACTCCTAGCGGTACCGTGTTGAGGGATGGGTATGCCCACGTGACTGACCGCCATCAGGATATGGGACCGTGGCAGGCCCCAGGAAGTTCCTGCCTTCCCATCTCAGTGTACCCACCTCTCTTCCGACGGCAGCCCATCTGATTTCTAGACTCAGTCTAGAATCATGCTGCGTAGATCGTCCTGCCTCATTTCTGCCACTTGGCGCGACATCTGTGAGATCACCCAGGCCATGTGTGTCCTGAAGTCCATCTCTCTCGGGGTAGGATTCCCTGGGGTGGATGTGCCGTGGTTACCTATACATCCCCGGCTAAAGGCACCTAGACAGTCTCCAGCTTCTGGCTGTTATGACACTGGGCCACGCGCAGCTAAGTCACCTGATGGGCACAGCTGTCGTTTCTCTTGGGTAGATGGAGTGGACTTGCTGGGTCACCTGGGAAGACTGTGTCCACACTTTCTTCTAAAGTGCTTTCTTCATTTTGGTGACAGTCACCCGCCTGCTTATTTGGTAACATGTTATACCCCTGAAAACTCTGGCTTGAGGTGGGTCGTTCAGAAGTTCGTGCAAACTCCCAGCTCATAAGTGAGTCAGATGCTTATCAAACTTGGTGATTAAGAATGAGTTTGCCTGTTTTATGCATTTCATTCTTACTTTTTTTTTTTAAGAGAGATCTTTGCTGTAAGGTGTGTGTGCTCGCTGGAAAGAGAGACAGAGAGACAGAAAGCAAGAAATCATTCCCAGGGGAGGATGGTCATGCCACAGTCCCTTCATCTCTCTCAGGATTTTGGGCATGCATGCACACACACCTGGTGTGAGTTTCAAGCCACCAGGTCCAGGGCTCAAACCACAATTGACCACATGGAAGTCCAGCACCTTAACCTCTATGCCACCTGCTGGCCCCTCATTCTTCCTCTTTATTGTTCTGTTTTAAAGCAGTGCTTTTAGCTATACAAATAACTGTGCTCATGTTCTTAGAACTGGAGATGAGAAGTTTCTTCCTTTTTTTTAAATTATTTCTTCATTTAATTTTATTTCTTACTATTATTCTTTTTTATTTTTTTAATTTGACCAAAGAGATAGAGAGTGAGAGAAAGGGAAAGTGAGAAAGCAAGCCACCAAGTCTGAGACTTGAACCTCAGTCAGCCACATGGGAGTCCAGCACCTTAACCATCACGCCACCTGCTGGCCCTGACAAGTTTCTTCTAAGACTAGAATTTTAAAGAGCTTTATCAAGCATGAAGAAGCCCTTGTCCCCTCCCCACCCCCTCACACACTTCTTTGCCTCCTCAGCCCCCCTCGGCCTCTACTTCTCGAGGGACACTTACCAGGAGAAGCTGTACGTGGGCCAGCCGGCTGGTACACCCCTGCTATACGTCCGGGCCCTGCAGGACGCCCCTGGGGAGGTGCCCAGCTTCCGCCTTGGCCAATACCTCTATGGCTCTTCCCGCATGCGGCTGCATGAGAACAGCTGGATCCGCGTCCAGGAGGACACCGGCCTTCTCTACCTTAACCGGAGCCTAGACCACAGCTCCTGGGAGAAGCTCAGCATCCGCAGTAAGGCAGCAGTTTGACACCTCGGCGGGCACAGCCTCCTCTCAGGGGGCTTCCCCGCCAGCCCTGTGTCCAGCCTGGTGAGGGGGCCAGGACCAGCTGTCGAGATTTTGGAGACCTCTGACTGGGCTGGGCGCTCTCTTCTTCTGGGGCCACCTGCCCTTACCAGTGGGGCCAACAAGGATTTGGGGGTTGTGAGAGGGATTCAGAGGGGCCGAGAAGTCCCAAGGTCTTGACCTGGAACTTGCCGAGAAGTTGCAGTCTTAGGGAAAGCCTGTCTTCCCACTGGCAGCAGGCTGTCCTTGTACCCAGTGGGGACTGGGCCTGGCCACCGTGCCCAGGGAGGAAAGACTTGGCCGTCTGCACAGAGCAGACGTGTGACCCTGGTATCAGGTCGGGGTGAGTTGGAGCCTTTGGTGGCATGAAGGTGACCATATGCCCAGTAGCTCCCATCCTCAGGGCACCTCCAGAGGCATGGACTTGGGCTCCTTTTGGTCCTAAGCCCCAGCTACGGGCCAGAGGCAAGCCATGTGCTGTGATGGCAGAGCAAGTGGCAGTGCCTACAGGGGCAGAGTGACTGTCCCATATGCCGAGTAAGCCAGGTCATAAGGTGGGAGGGGTGGGGGCAGGAGACTGGATGCTGCCTGGAGATGGTGGCAGCTGAGACAGGTCTCGGTCCCTCACATGCTCACTCGTTGCCATGCCCACCTGGAGCCCCCGCGGGCAACCTGAGGACCGGTGTCCCCAGGTGCAGCCCAGAGCTGTGGTCCTCTGTGTGGGGCCTGGGCTGTCTGGGAGAGGGAGAGGCCTCACGCACTGCAGGTCGAGGAGAGAAACCACACGGTAATTTGAACAGGGAAGTTTGTGAGGATCGGAGCCTGAAGGACGGACTAGTGAGATGCAGAGCCAGCCCTAAAGAATACAGGAAGA